ATCCTGCAGCAATGAAACTCACAATCAGTCCTATAAACTCTTAAACCTACTAATTTTAACAACATACAGTACTTATATGTAAATTAGCTACAAAAATCTTACTTACAAGGGCTCTCCAGAACAGGAGTGGTTCTGTCCGACCCGATAAATGAAAAAAGTCCTGGTGCTGCATGACTGAAGCCCACCACTGCTGCTCCAGGAGCAAGGCTGCCCAGGATTTAATTCACCACCGCTGGCCCAGTTCAGACCAGCACTACACGACCAGAACCAGGCTGAACCCCGCAGCTGTCTGTTCCCTGCTGCTCCCAGGATCCGGGTCACACTGAGTCCAGATCAGTTGCAGCCCAGCTACTCAGCAGTGAAGATGCAACTTGAAGGATGAGTTCAGCTTCAGAATTATTTGATACTTTCCTGCCAGTTCTGTGAGCTTATCATCATTACTTCTGACTTTGGTTGCAAAACTTTCCCTCCGTTTGCTTCAAGCAGTGGTTGGAAGCAGTGTTGACTTCTGGGAAGTGAACTGATGGCTTCTGGGTAACGTAGTTCTTTAGACTAGCAAAACAGTGAAGGCTTGATGAAAGAAAACTACAAAATGGCGACACATTTTTTATTTTTATTTTTTAAACAAACCACGATAGAGAGCGTTGTCGAAAGTCAAACCGTGAAGTAGCGAGGGACTACTGTACATCTTTTCTTTAATATTACAATTAATTTACGCCTCATTGGAAGCTTTAGTTAAACCTAAATGCACAGCTTTGAACACAAAAAGTATGTTGTAAAAATGTGAAGATGACAGCAACCAATATTTATTCTACAATCTATAATCTACAATGTTGCCAAAGATTTAAAGGATGAAATATCTCTTTTTACTTCTCAGTACTTTTCAAGTCTGCTCAGAAATATGTACAAAGTAGTCATACCTAAGTTCACAACTAGTTTTATGTAATTTCACACACACACACACACACACACACACACACACACAGTTGATTGAATGTGTGCAATGGAAACTGAACCGTAAAGGGTTAAAACCTTTTATTCTTATCAACTTATCAGCTGTGAATTTGAATGCAACTTTTCCCTTAATTTAAAATCCCACTCATCACGGAACATTTTGAAAAAAATATATATATTTGTGCTAATCTCACTTTGACATTGGTTGATACCATTGATAAATTCTTAAAACCTCCAAAAATGACAAAGGACTTGAGAGCAACTTGCGTTCAGTTTAACAGCTCACATGTCAGTCTGCACTTACAGACAGAACTAACGGAGACGATTTGATCTCTGTCCTTCCAACCTTTCTCTTTTCTCTGCTTTCACCTTTACACCACCATTCCATTTATTCCAAAACCTCCACCCCGCTCGCACTTCCCTGTCAGTTTATTTCGAACAAACAAAGATGATTAATAGAAATTTGAGGAAACATGGGAGCAGCATGTTTCTGGCAGTGAGGTGCCAAGTGGAGATGTATTTGTGTGTGTGCTGAGTAATGATGTGCTCATGTTGCATGCGTGTGTGTGGGTGTGTGTGCGAGTTTTAGGGCAGAGGTATAGAGAGGAGGGTTGACCACACATGTTTACCAAGGGAGCCCGGGAGACCTGCAGTGAGCCTCCCTCTCCTCTGATTGGCTCCAGCAGCTCTTCCTGTGAGTCTGGGCCTTTCATTGGCTGGTCGGGGGAGAGAAATGGAGGACAAATGTGCAGGAGATGATATGAAAAGCCAGCTCTGCCGGGACTTTCACAAACACTTTCCCAGGATTAACATAAGGCCATATGCTCGAGGGATGGGGCTCTCGGGCCCTCTTTTACTTGGGCTCCTCCGTTATTTGAACAGAAGGAACCATTCAGGAACCAAGACCGTGAAGAACTTGAAACCGGAGAGAGGGAAAATATGATTTAAAAGTGTTAATTGATATACTAGAGCTGCTTCAGCTCCAAGATAAGGTTGATTAATTGCAGGTTGTTAAAGCTGAGGAGGAGGAGGGGGCAGCAGTGGTGTGGTGTGATTTAAAGATTAGGTTGACGAGTACAGAAAACGAGTGATACATGAAGTGAGCAGAGGCTTCTCGCCAGGCCCGATGAGCCTGGCGCTTGACAGCTCTCTGCCATGAATTCCTTCATTGTATAATGTAGCCTTGTGTGGCCCCTGGACACTTGGAATTAACGCACGCACGCACACACACACACACACACACTTTTGTCTGAATATTTACAAAAAGAAAAGGCTTACAGAATTTTGCTGTAGAGAAAATACATTTTCAGATTTTCTGGGAACCTTTTCTGGATTAAGTATTTGTTTTGGTCATTTCTTTGATTGCACCATTTCACAAGGTTATTGTCATGTATACATTACGCAAAGAGTGCGTGAAATGCAGTTTGATCTGTCTTTACTTCTGACTATGAAACTAAAATAATTTGTGCAATAAACTTCAGCCAATAAAACAAACAAGGTAATGCAACAACACATTAGGACAACCTAAAAACCTGCAATAAAATTTTAGCAACATAAATGAAACATGGATAAGGGTGAAAATGATATTCAGTGTCCATTGAAGATTTTCTGACTACATCAGAGTTTGATGTATGTAGGCAGGAATGTAACCTCTTCGTTTGGGCCTGTTGGCTTCCCAGCAAACTAGTGGTGACACAGCTGTAAATAGCTGAGGGTGTGGACTGGAGGTTGGGCCTATATTTAGACGTTGAACTTGACTTTTACATCTTGGATATTTAAATCAACCTATTGAACACAAAATATTTGTTTGGAAGTCAAACTATAAATATATATGTGTTATTTTTCATCAGTTTGGAAGTCATACTATATTATGTGTTATTTTTACGGTGACATTATTTACATGAACGCTCCTACAAGCACCCTGCTTATGCTACATGTTGCCTATCACGGTGCATTAAGATTAGCAACGGGTTGTAACTACCGTACCCACCACTGCACCCTGTATTCACTGGTTAACTGGACATCATTAACTTCACCCAGACTCTCTCACTGGTACATTTTCATCTTTAAATCACTTCTTGGTCTGCAGCCTTCATACATCTCCTCCTACATGTCTCTGCGTGAGTGCAGCTACAGCGTGCGCTCTCAGGACATTATTATATGCAGTGTTCCCTCAGTGAGGACAGAACTAGGCAAAAGGGTTTTCTCCTACTCCACTCCTGTTTCCTGGAAAATCTTTTTTGATTTGTAAAAAAAAAAAAACAATAATAATTTTATATGCCTCTTTTATGACTGTCTGTTGTTGTCGTTGTTACTCACTGTCGTCATCACTCTTTGTTAGAGAAATCAGGTCTCTCTTGTAAATGAGTCCCCGAGGCTCAATGGGATTAACCTGTATAAATAAAGGTTGAATGAATGAATTTTT